TATGCTGTGTTTATGTTATGGGTAGATCATAGATCACTTCTATATAAATAATTTGTTTAAAAATTATGGGATATTGCTTTTGTCGGTATGTTGCCATGCGGCAACATGGTGCCTATAAGGGTAAAAATTTCAGTAGTTGCCAAATGGCATAAAGCTAACAAATTTTAGTATAAACAAAGACAAACAAACTCTAGGGCAGTACAAACTAAAGATTTATTAAACATATCAATAATATGTGTATTTCAACACATATTGGTAATTTTCGCAATGTATTAATTTATATATGAAACTCATAAGAAAGAGATAAACTTCCAAAACTTGTGTTGGATGCTTGGTATTGAAATCAATGATCACATTATTTAATTGCATTATAATCCTAACCCTTATTTTTGACCTAACACAATACGTACCATTATTTATCTGTTTAGGTAAATTTGGAAAGTATTATGAGTAACTTAGTAAAACATATCTTTATTTTTCATCACATGAGAATATTGTAGCTAAAATAAGTTGCTATAGCAGTTTTCCTAATGGGATTGACACAAGTGTGTATTTCTTGAACTTGTTTGTTGTAGTAGGTTTCTGGTAGCTAAGAGATTTATATAAAAAAAAATATACAAGAACATAAATTGTCCAGTGATAGTTGTTCTTTTAGCCGCAATGCATGGTACAATATAGTTTTTACTCCTTTACATTATTGTGATTACTCAAATAACTACCAGATAATAACCATGTATTCTAGCTCTTGGAATATTTACAAATATTTACAACACTAACATATATTATGATAGCTAACAAAAATGTTCCTAGTACTTTATTTTTTTTTAATTTTTTACAAAACTGAATAATTTCAAAATTTAATTATTTACACAATTCCCATACAACTATAACTTTACAACAAGAGAGCCAATTATATTATTATATTAGTATCTTTTATATCCTCATAATTGTCCACAACTTGTAGATTTTATTTGTTGGTCCTACAATGGTGTAGTGTCAGACACTTTATTTCTGGTGTGGCATAATCTGTTTCTTCAAAGAGAACTTCTGCCGTGTTTCATATTTCTTTACCTGAATAAAACGGTGAAAACTGTCAAAATTTCATGTTATTTTTGTGCACGATTACAATACTTTCTCTATACTTCGTATATACGAGAAAGTAAAAAGGTAAAGAAAAATATATTAAACTGTCTCTAACTTATCATTCTTCAATCAAAAGCTTAAATTTTATTATATGTCGACATATCTAATATAACATAAAATACCAATACTTATTAGAAAAATTAAAGCCAAATGATATACATTATTAGCAAACACAACACCATATTAAATGTTTCCGTTAAAACCCAGAGTATTCAATGATATTTCTGTTTTATTTTTAAACGATTTTTTTTAATTCTTTAAAGAACACAAAAAGCAGTAGTTAATTAAAAGACAGATATTGTAGATTAATGTTAGCTATTATTCCGAATGTTATTCTATATATTATTTTAAAGCGTGTTTTAAACCAACTCTCATTTAAAAAACGTTCATTATGCTGTAATAATTTAGCATTTATGATGACGATATATTTAATTCTGATTGTAGACAAAACATTTTTGTAAACACAAATACTGTCAAACAACTTTATTACATTCTAAAGTAATTATTGATTTGTTTTGACATTTGTAATTAAATATGTAGACATATATCCATATTTATACTAAGAGAGTGATTATTTCCCCTATTTCGTATGTCTTAATTAATGTCCCAGGAATTATTCTGTTAAATTTTTTTACAAGAATTACAATATATATATATATATATATATATATATATATATATATATATATATATATATATATATATATATATATATATATATATATGTTGTTTAGATAGATCCATTTAGTTTTGTCGGCCTACATTGTGTGTTTTTTCTTATTTCTTCAAGTGCTACTTACAATTTATTTTACATCATAGCGAAGTAATGACATGCAGCTAGTAATTATATTTATATATATATATATATATATATATATATATATATATATATATATATATATAGTTACTATATATATATATATATATATATAGTTACTATATATATATATATATATATATATATATATATATATCGAGTCCATAGAACGTTAAAAAAAACAAGCTGTGATGGGTACCTGAATCGGTCCTAGGTGCTTTGACCTCATGTGCTTTGACAATAGTGGGTTTGACCACAACGGGGCTTTGACTACAGACGGGGGTTAGCCATAGTATATGAATTTTAAAATAGAAATTATATACTGTTATTTGATTTAAATTTATGACACAATTAATACGATTTTATACATGTTTCCTGAGAGTCCATTAATAGAAATTAACAAGTACTAAAAAAAAGGGCAAGTACGATATTTTAGTCTCCAAATCAAGGCTGGTGCTAAGCCTCATAGATTTATTTTAAATATAAATGGAACACAAATAATGCGACGTATAACAAGTTTCACAAATAAATAATGTAGCTGTACTTGAAAATACATAGCATATATAAAGGATAAAAAAAGGATTTTAAAAATGCCAGCAGTAGAGTCAAAGAAGTAATGCTTATATGGTTAACTAAATGACAGATGTGCTATAGTAAACAAATATGTCAGTACATCTATTTGACCATATGTCTGAACAGCCCTTGGGATCAAAAACCCGTTGACAAACCACCTGTAATCACAGACCCTCTGCTGAGAAGAAACCTGTGGCCAAACCACCTATGGTCAAACCACCTATGGCCAAACCACCTATGGTCAAACCACCTATGGTCAAAGCAACTGTGGTCAAATGTCCGCGCACCCCTGAATCACGTATAGTGGCGGCACAGTTGAACTCTAATTCACTAGCCCAATGAACCACCTGGTTCGAAAACGTTTTATTCATTACCAAAATCACTAAACTGTATAATAGATTAATACTAAATACCGCTAGTCCCATATCAAATGGATCTTCAGATTTTTTTTCATGCCAAAATGAACGAAAATCTTAATACTAGATTTTCCTAATTATTGTATTTTACGCAACCTTCATTGCATATGCCACATATCATTCGTTTTGATATTTGATTAAACGTGTACAATAACAACTAAAAATAAACTATAATTCTCGGTATATGTCAAATAAAGTCATAATTACTCCAACTATTATTAATTCTTATATTGATCTTGACATTTGTATTCTTGATATTGTTTTCAGATCGACAAAAAAACAGGAAAATATGAACGTCAATGGTATAATTTGAATATATAATTATATTACTATATGTCTTAAGGGATTAGTTTTATAAAATGTATTTTTAAATTCTATGGAATAATGGAAATGCATTTAATATAACAGTAACTTTTTCATGGGCGAATTTAGTACTGATAATTGGATTTTTTAAAACATTGTATTTATTGATAAATCTTAAGGTTCAAATGGTGACTCGCAAGATCAGCCTCTTGAAAATACGTCAATCAATAACTCTACTCAAAATGCAAGGAAAAAGGTAACAAAAAATATTTAAAAGTACCCGGACTTAGGCATAAACTTAGTCACAACTTGATATTTTATCACTAATGTGATCTGAATGGAAAGCGGTTCTGTAATTCAAACTGTATATGATTGTATTCGATATCAATTGCAATTTAAATATGTGATTATTTTTTTGTATAATAGTGCATTAAATTGGACGCAATTAAAAAAGTGTGAGTAGAATGCTCTACAGTCAACTAAATTCCATCAGTTTTTATCTCTTTTTTTTAAAGCATTTGCAAATCGTCAGCATCCTTTGACATTTTTCAATTATGATTATAAAAAAAAGTATTATTTAAGAAAACTATTTACAAACAGAATGTAGCTGATGAAAATGGTTCTGAAGATGAATATTCAGAGAAAGGTTCTCTTCTAGAAGGTATGTATTAATGTATTTCGTCCAAATGAAAATCATACAAAAATTACTAAATTGTCCAGTTTGCGTAGGTTATAAGTTAGTGTCTTTTTTATTTTTCAAGGTAACCTGCAGGATTCGCAACAAAATGGTCATGTCAAAAGTGATAAATCGACTTCTTTGAATACAAAGCGTTTCATAACTTCTAACAATAACAAAAGAATCCCCGTAAGTCAGCAATCACCGTATGAGTGACGTGTTGCAATTTCTTAACTCTATTTTGACATATATTACAATACAGTATAAATATAAAAAGAATCATCCTCTTCTAAGAGGTATGGTTTTTTTTAACTTATTCTATTTTAAACTCTTACAAAGTGTACTAAATTTGACAGGTTTTGCAAAAATTTCAAGAATACAGTCAAGACACAAAAGACCGATCGGCGTCAAGTACTTCGCAGGATGCATACCCAGAGGTAACACAAAGCATTTAAGTTAAATATAATAAACGAGAAAAATGGCCCGTTGAGGAGGATACAACGGGCGCTAGGTTGATAGTGCTGTCTATTTTCTCTAAACTAAAACCAAAACCAAAATCACCATCTTAATTCAATTTAACCGGAAACAAAAAATGACATAGAAAACGGATTTTTATCCAGAATTGGTGCTTTAATTTATACCAAATATAGTCATAGGCATATCCCTAAACCATGCACCTAATCTCATTCATGACAAAAGTCGTATTTAGAGTTTCCTCCGCCCCCCCCCCCCCCCCACACCCCAAAACATGTCTACCGTCCCATTTAACGAAATATAATTATATACTTTTTCCAGCGTCCGCCCCCTCCCAGAAAATTCTACCCCGCCCCACAAAAAATTCAACTACCCCATACCTCGCCGGGGAGGAAAAAGTCTGAAAGAAACACTGGTTGCATTTGTAGATCATACAAACTAAAGGAAGAACCTGGGCGTGGCTTCGCCCCTACGGAAAGAGATGCACGAAAAAAACTGAGCACGCTAAACACTTTTTAGATTAGAAAAAGTTCCCCCTCTCCGGGGAGGAAAAAGTCTGAAAGAAACACTGGTGTCGCGCTTAGCCACTACCCGAAGAATTGCATTAAAGAAATTGCAAGAAACCACTTTTTAGATTTGACACATTAATTAGGCGGTAATTTTATTATAGAGTATCGATGAAGAAATTTCTTTTGAGTTGGGGAGGGGGGGGGGGGGGGGCTCAGACGTTCTTACGCGGGGGTGGGGACTTCGCCCCTACCTGAAGAATTTTATGAAAGATACTCTTCACGCAAACCACTTAGATGAGACAAAATCTCCTTTTTATTCAATGTTTACTCGAGAATCAATGACGTCATATTACTGTGTGCACTCTCCGGCTTGATACTATTTTTTACTATATGCTAAATGTGACGTCATATTTCGTTTCCGTTTTACTATGCATGTTTTTAATTTGCTTGTGCTTTCTCTATAGCGTTCTTGTAAGATAGATAGATACACAGATACACAGACAGCGAAACTATTAGTATTAATGGTTGAATATAATGTAGTTTAAGTCGTTATATGATACAAGCGGTTTCGTGAAAGACATACTGTTGTTCTTTATCTTACCACGACGTGAACATGGGCGTCCAAGACTTTTGATAAAATGTCTCTGTTGATTTGACCTTAAGACGTCGAGACCTGTTTGCAACGCCCGAATAATTCGCAGTGGTTAATTTTGGTTAGATGTAAATTCGAAAAAGTAAAGTTAAAAAAAATCTCACGGATAAAGAGAGGCCTGATAAAATGATGTACACGATGCCTAATGAAACCAAATGAGCTCAATCTTCACAATTTTTGTCTTGTCTGTTTATTGTGGGGGCTAGGCTGAGATGGTTTTAATCTGAAAAGAAACTTTCCAAACTTTTGCCTGAACATTATAACCATATTTGCCACAACCATTTAATGTGTTGACATGCTATGTCATGGCATAGTTCTATCATCTTGGTCAGGCGATACAATATTATTGTTATAAAATTGGTAATGCAAACTGCACATTTTTACTTCCTATTGCAACACTTACATTTTGTCTTCACCTAATACATTTCCGTATAACAGCCAATGATGTACATAATTTTAACAGAAATCTGAATCATCTAAAGACTGTGAGAGTTCCTGATTACATAACGCACCACAAGAAGGTATCGTTACTTGGTTTAATTGAACTTCAGCTGATAGAGTGATTTAATTAGCACATTTTTATTTTCCGGAAATCATAAAACAAAATTTGGTTATTTTTCATTCTAGAAACTTACTGTTTTTAAACTAACCTTTCAAGTTTTATGTTAGATGCTAATGAAGATTTTAGCGAATAAATATTTTATAAAAAACTGTTTAAGTTTGTAAACAAAAAAAAAGTGTTTCGCAAATTGCGATACAGTGAGGGATATGTTTTAATATTAAAATATAAGATGATGTAATAACTTATCACAGTGCACTTTACACTATTTCAATAACCAATCACATCGACCTAAAAACATAAGTAAAGTAAAGTTTCCCTTTCAAACCTGACGGTTTATGGGGCAAGTGAAGTAGAGTTCACTTGTTTCTGTGACCTCGGCATATGAAGAGATAGTGTGGTCATCACTATGCCCAGCCGCCTTTACTTTCCCTAACGTGAGTTAGGTACCCATCAGAGTTGGGTGGACTCAGGGACGATCTACTGACTTGAACCCGGATTCGAACTCGATACTTACGGGTTAGCAGTCCAGCTCTCTACCGCTAGACCACTCCGCCCTAAAAACATATAAAATAAATATTTGCAACAACAAAAATACCGTTCGATGATACAAATAAAGTATTTTTAATTTTAATGTAAGTCTATTTAACTACTTGGATTAATAATGCAAACATATTTTACCTGACATAGCATTTATAATGACTGACAGTACTCTGTGTCTATCGATTTTCAGCTTTCAATTTTTAGGAGGTGATACATAAAACAGAGGTGACAAAGTTAGTGGCTCCAGTATGTGATCTTATTGATAGTAAAATTTCATAATATACTTTAATTACGATTGATAAAAAAGAAAATGTTGTTTCATACGTATATACACTTTTGTATACGCCTACTGTCTTTATTTAGTTTGGCTTACTTCCCGGTATTATTACTAAACTATAAACCGCTAAACTATAGTACCAAATATGATACACTGTTATGTTTAAAATTTTATTTGCTTTAGCACTGCTATTGAGATCAATGGTAATCTATAAGCTAAACAAATGTTTTCTTTTTTAGTAACATATTTCACATGTTTTACATTTTAAGTATTGTAACAATTTTATGACTAACAACAAAATCCACTTAGGTTGTAAGAGATGTGCCAAAAAAACAATTCTGAAACAAGTACCTGACAACTTTCCTTTTGGTATAATTATTGAAGTCCAGTTTAGTTGCATTATTCATTTATTTATCACTTGTGGCCCCTGGGAGCAAATACTGCTTGTCTATGTAACCCTCCTCGTCTCCAAGCAATATATATTGGTATTAAAGATTCTTATCTCTGAGTTAAAGGCATATCTAGCCCTGTTTATAAGGCTGTTTATGTCCTCGTCTGCTCCCCCGTCCTTGTTGATCACGCTTCCCAGATGTGTGAATGTGTTTGTTTCTCGTAAATCTTCTCCATTTAGCTGTATGAACAGGCCCTTATCCCTTCTGATGCTGATTACCTATGCTTTACATGTAAATCAAATATGCTAATAATATTTTGTAATATATTTATTTTAATTAGTTGGCACATTTGATTTAGAATTTTTGTGTCGATTATGTTGAATAATATAAAGTAAATTTCTTTTTTTTTCTTTTTATTTAAGTAAGTTTAATTGAGGACTTCCACTTCTGGACATGTTGACATTTTCTAATGGATTTAAATGTAATTGAATTTTCTAGGTTAATTAATTTGTTAAATTAAATATGTTATATTATGTTACCTCTTAATAGTATATTACTAGCCGTCCCGGCCAGGCCCTGCACTGGCATCTCTGAAAAACGTATCTGTTAAGGACCATTGTTAGGATTGTTACATATAAGTATTTACGTAGATTTAGAGTAGCGTCCCTTTTGTTTACATGTTTTCATTAACATTCAAGCTATAGTCTATTTTAGTATATTCAGATTAAAGAATGTAAATAAATAGTACACACACATTTTGTAGCATAGGAACGATTGGGAGGGAAGTGACATAGAGCGCAGAAAACTTAGATGTTAGGTGGGGTATAAAAGGTGGGGTTAGGAATATTAGGGGGTCCATTATCTTATAGGCATCCTAGGTTGTGTGATCTTACAAGCAATAAAAGTAACGGATTGTGAACGGACTTCGTGTTTGTTTCTTGTCGACCCTGTCCTCAACTCACAACAACCATAACTTGTGTGTTTAGTAATCAGAATTTACCCCGCATTGCCCACCTTAACCACAACCAACCACAACCCTAACCCTATCGGTAACAACAATCTTTACAAGCTTATCGTCATGTAAGTGGACCGATTGACCGCTTCAAAATTTCACAACATAAAAAAACACTAACTCTAAGCTACAGGGTTCAATCATCACACGATTAAGAAAATAAATCCTCCAAGGAAAGTGTTGGTCATAGATATCTCGTTATTTAAACATTTTGTCAACTGGTTAATAATAGTAGATTTTAAAAAAAAAAATCAGGTTATAAAAGTTATGTTAGTTATAAATATTATATAAGCTTTAACAGGCCCATAGAATAAATAAAGACAGAAATGATTTTAAAGTGCATTGATTAAATGTAAACAACCTATCGCTAGCACAAAACAAAATTAAATATAATCAAAATTCAACAAACAATCCCTTATTGCTAACTTCTAACAAATGCAGCTAATGTACCTAAACTAAAGAAATATATACTGAACTGACTGCTGGACTTTGGCATACGACTTACAGAGGAGGAACAACGCTTTTTATTATTATTAGAACATATTAGAGCTTAACATTTCTTAATCTAAATTCGTCGGCTTGGACATCTGGAACTGCGATGGGATGACATCGACACATGAACACTTAATTTTAATATCTTGGGTGTAAGGATACTTCACATGGGGTCATCCATAAATGACGTCACGCTTTTTGTTACGATTTTTACCTCCCCTCCACCTTTCCCCTCCGTCACACGTCGTCACAAAAAGCCAGACCCCCCTAAAATGACGTCCCACCTCAGCCTACAACTCCCCCTCAAAATTGCATTTGAATTTTTTTTTTAAAACATCGATATTTTTAAAAAATCTTGTCTGAACTCTGTCTAAATAGAGTATTTTAATCAATTCCTATTACGATTTATTAAAACAGTTTTCCAAAACGCGAAATAACGTCTAAAATTAGTTTTTTAACATTGCTTTTTTATAATGCAAAAAATGTGACCATCTGAACCCCCAAACCCCTTTCTCTCTCATCACACACCGTCACAAAATTACGGAACCTCCCCCTACGAGTTTGACGTCATTTATGGACGACCCCCATCAACATTAGGGGTAAAAGAATAATTTACATGATCAGGGATGGAGGAACATTTCATATTATAACAGTTCAGATGCCATTAGACTTTAAACAACGACGATTTAATCATTCGCACTTGTCACTGATACGAACTTCAATGCCGGAAAAGTATATTCTTTATTTCTGATACGTCACTACTGACAATGGAGTAGTCCGAAATATGGAAAATCCTACTTCATGTACACAATATGTCTCAGAAAAATCTGCACTAACAAAATTTTACTAATCGGTTTTTATGTTAGACGGTTTTGCTTCTTGATCAAAATGTGAATCTTTTATTAGCTGCTTTGAAAAAAAATATGAGCAGTTTTCGCTTATCCACAGAAATGTTATGAAATGTCAGTTTGCTACTCCCAGGTGTGGGACGGGGGGGGGGATGGGTAGATAACCAACTAGCATTAATAATAGACTCAGTCATAACACCTTGCAAATTTTAAAAAAAAATATCGTCATATATCCATAACTGCAGTTAATTAAATGACTGTGAATAAATTCACAACGGTAGAGGCCAATATTTTTAAAAATCACAACAAATCTTTATTTTTTTATATATTCTTTGTTTATTAATAAAAAGTATTGTTTGTGTTTTATTTCAGTTCACATAAAGTTTGAAATGACTTGTAATGTTTAAGATGCTTTCTAGAAATCTTTTGCTACTATAAAATATTGTATATTTGCTTTCATAACAACATAAACCACTGTAAAACTTGTTCCGTATTCATAATTTATATTATTATATATATTTTGTTTCAAATTTAACTGCATAACTAACAAACCATTAAGTCTGTATTATAATTTTTCTATTGTGGCTAAAATATTCATCAAATAACATACTAAATGCATGCGAATTATCAACACTTATTTGGATGAACTAATAAATAAACGTTACAATATAGGGGAAGCAAACAATGATATTCAAACAATTTTAGTGTTGTTTCATTCATAACTTAGCTTTTATTATCTACATCTCTTTATTACAGTGATGTTCGGCGTTGATGTATTTAAGGTTAACAACTCAACTAATCAGGTATATACGTCCAATTTTGTATATAAACAGGCATTCGATGAATCATAGTAAACGGCGAGTGTTGCCTGCTAAAAACAAAAATAGCACGTTAATTTATTGTGTAATAGACACACACAAAAAAGGAAGAAATTTCATCTTTGTGTTAAACCATCGAACATATTGTGAATACTTAGCTCATTTTATAAAATTTAACAGGAATCATCGTTGAGATTATATTACTAAATTGCTGTCTGGTAATGATTACATTTAGGAGGATATTATTTCGAATTTTCAAACGTCACTTGAAACTGCTCTAGAAATCCCATGAATAAAGTAGGCCCACGCTACTGTTCACTTACATGAATCACAACCATGATGCAAGTAGCATGTCAAGCAGCCACGACTATATTTAGGATATTTTAAAACACTATTTTATGTTAATGAATTGCTTTTAGATAATTTAAGAATATCGACGTTATTGTCTTGCTTTTACAAAGCTAATACATAGCCATCATTATTCATTATATATAGATAACTAACAGGGATTTCCTATCATTAACTTAAAGGTTGGGCTACAAAGCACTCTTTTTTCCCGGTTTCTGTTTGGTTGATGGGATCGGCTAAACGGTTTTCCAGTCGTAAACTGAATTTTTTACTTCCCTTTTTAGATACACTTGTGTTTTTCGCAATTATAAGATTAACGTGATTAATAAAGGTCGAGTTATAAATAATAGTGTGTGGGCTTACCTTTTACAGCTACTATGCCAAATCTAACCAAGTTGAAAAAATAAAAATAAAGAAACTTTTGGAATTGGAGGGTCCAGGTGGCAGGGGAAGTAGAGTTAATCTGTTTTAAAGTACCACATATTATGAAGGGATAATGTGGCCAGCACTATGCCTAGACGCTTTTACTTTCCCTAACTTTAGTCCGGTAGCCTAAGCACGCACTAGATGGGTGGACTTAGGGACAGCTTACGGACTCGTGGCCTGGACCCGAACAACAGACTTCAAGGATAGCAGTCGAATGCCTAACGATATAAGCCACACTAATTACACATTTAACTTGATTAAATTAAGACTTTACTCGTTGAATTGTGATTGATAACGGAATCGGTAAAGGACTGATATTAAAACTATTCGATAACTGAAATTAAGATTAGTCTGTAGGCCCAGCACTAGTGTATCATTTTTTTTCTTGATGAGTTGATGATTTAGATTAGACTTTAGCTTAACTATACTCAGCACTATTATATCAAATTTGTTTTAATAATCAGTGTTTTGATTGCCACTAAGCTTGACAAAAAATAAAATTTCATTAGAATTTTTATAAAAATACATTTATTTTTTTTATTTTCTTTGTATTTACAATACAATTGGCAGGTTTTAAAATAATGTACATCAAGTTTATTTACAATTAACATAATGAATTGGAAAAATATTCCTCGTACAAGAGACTTAGATAATGTGTGAGATAAATTCATATCGCGCAGTGCACAACATATCAAACACTCGTCTTGGTCTTAGATCTAAAGAAACATCTATGTACACAGTTTACTGGACATGTCTACACACAAACTCACCCTAACATATGACTCAAACAACTGAAAACTTCTGACTTTTTTTTGCAGGATACATGTTTTACTAGTAGACAAATGTAAATGGCAAATTACCCGTTGGTCCATTACAGTTTGGATACAATTTGTAAAATATAGATCAAATAAGTTTGATGCTTGGAAAAACCGATACAAAAGTTATACATACGGAAAAATATAATTTTACAAAGCAATTGATGTTTTGACTGAAAGGTTCAGAATCAAGAATTTGAACCTAACTAGCCCCACCACAACTTTGAAACGTTGCTCTATACATACATTCATATACAATAACATTTACATTGGGACTAGAGTTTCTTTCAGATATTTTCTCCGGGGGCTCTTGAGACTTCTTAGGTGGGGAGGCACTTGAAGGTACCAGGGAGGGGGAGGGGAATTCAGTGGGGGGGGGGGGGGTGTCACTGGATGATCTAAGAGATGTAGATACGGGGACGGGGGGGGGGGCTTCCCGGAGAGATGAAAGGAATAACTGTGAACGAGGCTACATAAAACACACTTCACTTTAAATATTGCGTGCACCAAGCTATCAAGCGGAACAAGCATTGATTACGGCTGAAAATAATATCTTTGTATCAAATTTGAAATTGACTTCATATCCACTTTCTTGTGTTCTACATTCAGGCATATTACTCCCTCTCTCATCCTTCTCTTTCTCTCTATCCATCAGCATGTCTCTCTCCATTATATTTCTCGCTTTCTCTCTCCTATCTCTCTGCCTTTCTCACTATTCCCTACTTTTCTCTCTGACCATCTCTATCCTACTCTGAATTGCTCTCCCTTTGTATACTATTTTTTTTAATTGTCTATCTCTTCCTATGAATGGCAACAATCTCTTTATCTCCTATCTCCGTTAGTGTTTGGATTTCTTTTTTTCTTTCTTCGCCATTTTCTGAAAGTCCAGTTTGACGTAGATCACGTGATCCTGACTGTGACTCGATCTGTTGGTGGACAAGCTGTCACGTGAGTTGGTGTGGTCTATAGTGATGTAGTTCAGACCTTTAGAGTTTAATGATCGCTCAGGCGCCTGCAGACATACAAGTTAAGTTGTGGTAGAGACATACAGATAACAAACAACATGTAAATTTCATTATGTATATATATATATATATATATATATATATATTTGTATATATATATATATATATATCCTATATATATATATATATATATATATATATATATATATATATATATATATATATATATATGTATGTATATATAAATATGTATATATAAAAAAATAAATATATATATATATATATATATATATATATATATATATATATATATATATATATATATATATATATATATATATATAAGAGCAGAAATAGAATGCAGTCCGGCTTACATTTATGTATATATTGTTTTCCTCAAGATCTGAAGACTGTAATGTTGCTGGTCTATCAATCAAAAACTTGGAACAATCGTTCTTGAGTTGTCCTGTAGTTAATTTTTTTTAAATAATAAGGTCTTTACATATAAAGTAAGACTTCAAAAAGTAGATATTTTATCAATATCGATCAAAAATGTTCAAACGTCTTTTGGTATGTACATAAATTAAGTTATTAAAGTGACATGCATAACTATGTGTGCCTTATTTAAAATTTGCAACCATTGAATTAACAAACCTGTCTTAGCATCGAAGGTTTGAACAGAATAATCGTTGTTGCTTCGTATTAAATTGGTCTGCTGTTGTCTGAAGTAAAATTAATACCGTATTATATATAAATTGTTTCTTAATTAATTGTAAAAAAAAATTGGTTTCTGGAGAGATGAATTTAGTTTATTGGATGCATGAGTTCTGATGTTGTATTGAAGTGTACAAAGATAAAATAAATACTTACAACGATGAAAAATTAGACTCTAGAAACTTTTTCACTAGACAAGGAAAAAAGAATATTATTTTAGGTCGATAACAATCTAATTCTTTAATTTTGCTTATACTTTAGCTGGACTGCTAACCAGAAAGTCTCGAGTTCAAATCCGGGTCAAGTCAACAGACCGTCCCTGAGTCCACCCAACTCTGATGGGTACTTAACTCGCGTTAGGGAAAGTAAAGGCGGGTGGGAATAGTGCTGACCACACTATCTCTTCATATGCCGAGGTCACAGAAACAAGTGCTCTACTTCACTTACCCCATAGACCGTCAGGTTTGAAAGGGAAACTTTACTTACTTTACTTTTATATTTTAGAAGCTACATAAAGGTTATATCTTAAAAACGGCGGTACATAGATATTATATAACAGTAGAAATTTAAAATCTATGTTGAAGCCAACTCTAAAATATAACGTTGTAACGAAAACATACAACAGCATAACGAAATAATCTTTAAAAAGATCTTTCTATGAATTAGGATGACGTCAATAATTATGGTAATTTAAAATATATGTTTAAATGAAATATTTTATACGACATTATAACGATAAGATACAATTTTTATATAAAAATATCCAATAAATAATACCTTTCTTTCTACAAACTACGACGACGATAATAATTATGGTAGTTAAGACCACAGCAGCTGCAGCACCGATGATTAGAAAGACAGTGACACCAGAGCTAGTCGTCTTGATACTTTGAGGTGATGTGGTCCCTTTATCAGATGAGGTGGGACCTGTAAGAAGATATAATGATGTAACACGTGTTCACATAAGAATTATTTATTTTTAAATGTTCACTATGTATTACAGAAGTAGTTTGGCTGATTAGCATTCCGGTATACGTTTAAAACCATGTTTGCGTGTACAAAACATCAACAAGTGCATGTTATGGTTAAAGTTAGGCAAAGTATAAGACACAATGTGTAAGCTCTCTAGGCAACCAATTACATTAACTTGGACCAGTACAAAGTATGTTAACCTTTTACATCTCGCTTTGTCTTTTACCGAATACATTTGTAACCTTAGGGAAATTCTTACTTTCAAACCAAAAAGAATGTCGAAAAATTTACATAATCCATTTAGTAAAAAACAATATATACAATTTACAGTATAATTTTTTTAAAGCAGTGGTGGAATAGCCCGCTTATATTACGGTTGTGTAATAGTCATAATGGTGATTTGATTTTTATTTTAAATAATGTGTTGGTATTTCTCTATTTTACAATTTCTATTCCTTCATACTTAGCCAGACATTTAAAGATTTCATGAATAAAAATGCAAAAACTTCAACCTAGGGCTGAGGGAAACCATTTTAAAATGTACCGGGCCTATTGCACACAGACAGTCCACCTCTGATTTAAAGCCACTCTTTTAAAAAAAAATTCGAACCTGGAGTTGAATTATCTGGGTCTGATAAACTTGATGTGGTAGCCGAAGGTACTAAAAAAAAAAATTTCGCATGCAATTCAACAACAGTAGGTTTGATATAAGTTTTTATTTAAAAATATCAACGAGACATTGCAGCTATTAAACTCTATTTGTAAATTTAAAAATCGCCTACTTGACGTATGTGTCGGTCCAATACTTGTTTTGTTTTCTGGGCAAAAGAAAAGAAAGGACGGTTTAAAATAAATTTACAAATTAGGTTTTCTAATCAAACGTTCTAAATGTCCGCTTTTGGACTTTATATTGTTTAAAAAAATTAAAACATTATTTCAAATGTTTGTTAATACAATAAACTATTTTTTTAAATTTATTTTTTTAAAATTGTTAATACATTTAAGTTTTGCTTTTTCATATATTTTAACAAGCGTTTTTACAATGGACATTGAGAATCACATTTAGAATATTTGTATATTATTTACTAACCTCTCAGCAATGTAACCCGAAACGTAAAAGGCATAGCTTCCCTCTCTACATTTTTCACCAATACTTCGAAGACCTGTACACCATCTACATCAGCCGGGCTAAGTTGAATAGTAACATTGTAGGTGTCATCTCCTGATCTCCTTACACCAACATACCTGTTGAGACTAGAGACGTGTGACGTGTTGAGTTTGATCACGTGACCGTTTATCCCGATATAGTCGTGTAGTGGAGAGCTTGAGACAACACAAAACTGTATGGTCAGTGGTTGGTCAAATCTGGCTTGGATTGGCCTATTTCTGATCTCGTTGTTACAAGACTCTAGAAAATATATGGAATGTTTATGTCAGTGACACATTTTGGACACATATTGTTTAGTGTTACTTAACATAGAAGAACGTAGTCTACCTGTAGCAATAATGTTTACTTTACACTTGAGCGTAAGGTTATACACTCTTATTTCTATTGGTAACGTTGTTTCAATAGTTTGATTGTGGAAGACAATGTCCAGTCCATACTGATATCTGCTGTTATACTTTGTTACTTGTATATCTTTGTCTGACAGACGTTGGTTGTCCACATAAACCTCCATCTTGTGTTGATGTTGTATGTCTACACCAGACTTCAGACAAAAGTTGACAGTCAGGTTCGCGCTGGGTCGGGTGTAGATTGTGTAGATAGGGTTAGGATCCAAATTATAGCAAAGCTGTGGAAGGTCTGAAATGAAAAACAAAGTGAATTATACACTGATAACCGCTTGTGGATGGTAGGGAATGATGATATATATTGCATTACATAAAAAGGTGTTAGATCTTTCCTTGCTGAAAGTGTCTTAACTAAAATATCTTATAAATAAAGTGGGAGTGATCACTCCTAAATTTTATCGAAAATACTTAAAAACACTACGGGGGATGGCGACACCGGAAACTGGCATGATCTTTAATCAATATTTAATTACTTAAACTTTTTAAAATGTAACGTTATCTCGTAGAAAAAACATTCCGCCTCAAGTGAACAGCAAACAATGCGTGTATAATACTGCGGAACATTATTACTTTATAAAATTATATGCGTTTTTTTTGAGAAATCGGAAATAGCGTGAAGCACTACTTCCGGTGACCGGAAATTGCTCAAAAACATTGTAGAGACAGAGAATTAGATATTTTAATTATTTTACTTATATGCGAAATTTTGTCGTTTTGTCGAAAACAGTAATCTAGTCTTTTGAAAAACCGCAAGTAGAATGAACTTCATGTCCTTTTAACGGAAATTTCTGAAAAGATGTTACAAAACTACACATTTGATGTAATGCTTATATTTCGAATGTTATTGTCCTAGCTATAACAGTACTCAAGTTATTGTGTTCACATACACAAATACATACAGACATAGAGACATAATTGCAAAGTCCAGTTTTTCCGACTAGTTGAAGCATAAAATTTAGAATATTTATCCGATAAAAGTAAGTCCCTTATACTTCGTATTTGATGCAGTACTGAGGTGTAAAACTAAAACCTCTCAAAATTTCAAGTGATTTTTGTGAACGATTACAATACTACCTCTATTCTCTGCATACTTGAGAGTAAAAATCTTCAATAGTGTTCATATGTGTTACTTTCTTAATAACAAAATATAAAAGGTAAGTGTTATAATCGTGCACTAAAAAAATCGAAATTGAGATTTTCACAAATCTCGTCGTTTTTTACGACCCTTTAATTTTGTCTGTATTTATGTGTGTTTTCTAAACTAATAACTATGATATGTGGGGCTTTCAGAAAATCGACCAAGGAGTTCCTATACATCCAATTAATGTCTGTCTTTCGAAAGTGAAACATTGGGTTACATTTTAGGCTTGATGAAAGTAAATGGAAATGTAGCGTTAAACAAAAGAAATATTAAATTTCTGAATGGTTAAAACATTTTTTAACACTAATTGTGTGATTTTCATCATAAAGATAAAATGATTCTTGTCAACTTGGTCGTGTCGATATTCTGTCAAATTTTAAAGAAGTACTTTACGTTATTTCCGATTTCTCAAAAAAAAAAACATGTACGAATTTATATTTTACTCGATTCTTCTGTGTATCGCCCGACACGGTTAGAAAATAGTGAACACAATTTCGAACATTTCAACAAGACCAAGTACTTTCATACTTTTCATGAAAGGCAAGGGCTCGAAGAAATTGGGTTGTCACTTAATTAGATGATAAATTAACTTTTTAAAGATAGTTACGTTTTTCTTTATAAGGCACTAATCTTCCGCAATATTATATACACATTGTTTGCTGTTCATTTCGTGCGCAATTTTTTTTCTACGAGATTCAATTCTATTTTTAAAAGTTGCAGTTATTAAAAATTGATTGAAAATCATGTCTGTATCCCCAGTTGTCAACCTCCGTAGTGTTATATAAAAATATTCAAGAAAGTGTAGGTAAGATCACTCATGGTTTATTCTATTTAGTTAGCCAAAAAAAAGATTCATCAAGGGAAATGCACCATGTTTAGTTTTTTTTTAATAGAACCAAACGTGTTATTGTTCGTCAACAAAAGTAACCATATATTTAAAAAGTTTTAAAATTGCACCGATTTCCCATTAACGTATTTCAATAATACTATAATATTATCAGTTTGCAAATTAATCGGCTTCGAAAAAAAAATACAAATTATTGTAATTATCTTCTAATACCTTTATTTAACCTGAATCACTTAATGCAATACTGATGAGAGTTATATAATATAGTGTCATACAGAACACAGACAGTTGAAATATATACCCAGAATTTTACCAATTTATCAAAACCAATTGTCTGTAATTTTTAAAACAATGTTTAGCACTATTTTTTAAACGCTTCGATGTACGTTTTAATATATTTTTAACTTCAATAATTGTTACAAATTGTCTGTAGCGAATTTATTCATATATATTTAAATATAATAATGCCATTAGATTAATATTATACAATTCTTAGCAAATAAAATCAGACTGATAAACTTTTCTTCAAGTCATTTACATTTTAAAATAGGGCCTACAGTGTTAAAAACGCACCTTTCAATTTGAATGAAAAGAAGACTTTCAGATAATGTAAACTATGTTTTGCTGCTGCTAGGATTATAGTATTGCTCTTGAAGTCTAATTCTTGAATGGAGGTCCATGAAATGGTGACGTTAAAGCAATTATTCGACACACATTTAGTGATGTTGACGTCTGCTATGCTCGAGTCATTAATCACAGTGAGGTTAGCAGAAGAAATGACGTTAAATTTAAAGATGGCTGTGTCGTTAACGTTTGTGTTAATTACGCTGTTGTTGGATTCGAGATCAAGAAGACGAAGGGGGCCTGGCAACAAAAACGTTTTTAAGATCATTCTAAATACATATATACATTTAAAATCATCTTTTAGGCCTACTTTCAAACGTACAAATAACATCACGATGAAATAGTATTATCAGTAATTTTACATGCGTTACATTTAATAACATTTATTAACTCCATGAAACATACACTTGTTAAATATTATTATTATTTTTATATATAATAATGTAGTTATATGTAATAACAAAAACAACTTACATGTTGGGTCTGATAAGTGTAATATACGTGTTCTTATATTTCCTTCAAAGTCAGTCACTTCACAAACATAACTCTTATGAAGTGAACACAATTGTTCAGTAATCTGTGTTTTTAACTCCATAGTTGGCTGATAGTTCCTTGTGTTGAATAATTTATGTGCAACAACATTTTTTTCACCATGAACTTTGATTGTTAAAGATCTTGGATATCCAGTTGCCTCACATCGCAACTGTAGAAAATGTTCTGTATTTTCGTTTGTAACCTGATAACTGAAATTCACTAGGTCTGCTTTACCTAAAAAAAGTATCATAAGGTAAGTGTACATAAAATCATGTATGTAAATACGACATTTTATTGAATGAAATACCTCTTAAATCCACCCATATCAGACTGTGAACACGCCTTTTGCAGCAGGTAAAGAAGAAAAGTGGTATGACGCCCTGATCCCGTTCTGTCAGGTTATGTACTGTAATGTTGACTGTACTGTGATACCCACTCTCACTAACAGTCACCTCATATCTCCCGGTTGACGAAGGAAATATTTCATCGTTTCCAGCCATGATAGTTAAATGTTCTGTCAGATTTGTACCACAGACAACGAGAGTGCCAGAGCCAGTGCCGTTAACTGTTGATGTGATTCGGATACTCTGCAGTGTTCCTATACACAAACTTGGAGATCCTATTAAAAGCAAGTTTTTAGTATTTTATATTTTGCAGCAATTTAAACATTTAAATATGCACGAATACAAGCGTTTAAGGGATTTTAGGTTTGTATTATAAAGAGTTGGCCATTTTCTACCCCCTGCCTCTTGTCCGTAGCGTCCCATTCCGTCGTCAGTGGCAAACTATACATTGTGCACACAGCCATTATGTGTAGGGCCTATATATAGGTATTCACGTTGTCGAAAAAAAAAAAGAGTCAAATCCCCCATTTAAACGGTTGGGGGCTCTTTTTGCTAGTCACTTCACATTTCGTGTTAACAATTTATATCTATGTGTCACACAATTAATTAAAAAACAGTTAAATATGTCAATGTAGACCATTAGCTACCCCTATTCTTAATTCTAAGTACAATGCAGTAATACAGCTTAGAATGAGCTTTTACATAATTTCTACCCAGTTTAGCGCTCTCTGGTGTCAGCGTCCGGGGCGATCGCCAAACTGCCCCTACCCTAGAAAATGCATCGAAAATCTGGAGACTCGATATATTTATTTGGTTTTCCATTTTATAGTTTTTAGCAAGAATCGGAATCATTATCAGCTCCAACGATTGAAGTGCATGGTGATGAGTGATGCTGCTGATTCAAAATATGCCTACGATTGTGATTTATTTACGTAGGAACGATCTTTTCCTACTGATCGAGCACTTCTTTGCCACTGTCAAAAATTTCCATGCCACTATCACATCTGCGTATTTAAAGAGCATAATTTATTTTATTGAACATGTCGCCCTAGTGGTCCATTTGGAGAAGATGGAACTGGGCGTCCTGTGTAACATACACTGCAACAACTTCTCCGCTCTGAGCTTAAATGTTCGTAAAAGGTGGTAGTGAATTTAAAGATACAATCTTGGTATACCTGCTGTTTGTGCACTATATATTTAAAATCCAGAGGTATGAGGGCTATTCCGTCCATATCGCATATGTTGCGTGTTTCAGAGATGAAAAGCAGAACAGCAAATTGATGATGAGAAGTAAAGAGCTCTCAAAATTGAAAATAATAAAGATGTATCCTAGATTCACTGTCTCACAAGACCCGACTAATGGCGTTGGTTTTCTTTAACTTCTTGCGATCGAAAACGAATGTGCTAAACATAAAGTACTAAAGACTGATAGACAATTTGCAAATAGTAAAGCTAGAATTGTAAAAAAATTAAACAATAAATGTTACAATGCAGCTGCTTAGCGTGTATTGGCGACAATCGAATACATACAATTATTTTTGTTTTTTAATTCAAGAGAATTTTACTTAAATAATGAATCTTACACATTTCATTAACCTATTTGTAAGTCATCGGGACTATAAATATTGAGTATGGAATTATATTGCATGATTTTGTATTTATTTGAACCATACATGTTCTACATATTTTCATATGTATTACGTAACTAGTCCATAAGCGACGGACGAAGTTGAATATTAGCATATGCTTATTGTATTAAAGTACATTTAAATATTGATAATAAAAACGCCTCATACTGTCTTTTGTATCAAATGCAGTTTTAAACATCATAATTAAATACAGTTGGTTTGATTGTCATGATTCTGTCCAAATAAGTAACACACCCATTGGTGTCGCCATTGGTATGGCACCTCATGGACTGACCCACCCCCTACCTTATATGGTATATATAAATATGATATCTATATGTATATGCATGTGCACGTGTACGGGTACGTCTACCTTTACGTCTATTTACATGTGTGTGTATTTGTGTGTGCATATGTATACGTATACTTATATGCGTGTATGTACATGTACATGTACATGTGGATGTGCATTTTTATGTGTATGTGTATATATATATATATATATATATATATATATATATATATATATATATATATATAGTCTTACTTAGGCTTAAAGATTTATACAGTTGCATTTGGTGTCACCCCCTCCTCTCATTTACCTATTGGCGTTTACTTGTGCGAACCTAAAATGAGAGCTAGATTTATATAGTTCACAGTCACTACATCGATCATGTACTTCTTTCCGTTACATGATTTTTATCATCAGTCTTGCCTTTCCGTTAGTTTGAATTGTTTTCCCATCATTTATTGTTAGCTTACTTTTGAACTTATTCTTCTGTGTATACATAATATACTATTTTGGAAGTATATTCACAGTTCCCCCATAACGAACGCGGAACTAAACTTTATTTCGATTACAAAGATCAACAATCTTTATTTTTCTCACTCACTTGCTTTACTGGCTTCATTACGCACTTCATGGCGAAATGATATAGTTTGCCACGATTCTTAAAATTTCAACTATGCCGAAAACTGTTCTTTAATAGATGTGTGCTTTTTTCCGCAGTATCTACAACAGGGAGTTGATTGATTATTGTTTCCTTTATATGACACTGCAAAAGATTCTTTTAACTCCAATTTTCTCTTTTCCGCCTCACTCAAAATTTTCATCGTTTATCGGTTTCTTCTGCTATCTAACATAACTCTATGCACGTTTTCAATGTTTATTGTTCTTGTCCCAGTAACAATTTCCTAGTGTCAGCATCCTTGATACTCAACACTAATTTGTCTCCTAATAGTGAGTCTTCCATACGTTCACAGAAATTACACGTCTTGACCATTGTTTACATACTCCTCTATCGTTTCATTAGCCTTATTTCTTTTGTTGAATTTGAACCTTTCAAAAGTTTCGTGGGTTTTAACCCTAAAATGTTCGTCAAAGTTTTTCAATATGTCACTAATCTTGCTTATCACTGGCAAGTTCAGATCATTATACACCTTTAAACCCATCTGAGTCCAACAAATTTAGAAACACCGCTTGGCATGGCTCATTTCCTTCTCTTCATTTAAACCTACTAAGAAGTAGTAGTTTACCACATTTGTTTAAACAATCTACACCGGTAACCCATCTGTTTCCGTAAATGCATGAGGCGGATGAACTTGTAGTCTGTTTTGAGTCTTTCTTTCAGTTTTCTTGATCAGATTGTTTTCTTTTCTTACAGTATAGCAGTTAGTTCGCCTTCACCCAGTATTTAGCATTACTTCACAACTATTACACAGTTTTTAGTAATGTATTCAAATCGCTGCCACGATGTTACATTACTTAAACACATTTCTCCGTGTTAATAACCATTGGTATTTTATTATTATAGACAGCTTAGACGGCACGCCTTGTTTCAGTAGGTAGTCCAAACTGGCGAAAAAGTGCGTTTTAGGGTAAGTTTTTGCTGTTTTAAAAAAAAGAAATCACTACTTCTGGTTGTCCTAAAAGAATAAAAATTATATCTCAATAAAGTTTAAGTCTTTATTTGTCGTAATCTGGTATTTTTATATCTGTAACACATGTTTGAATGTGTTTTATATTTGTTAGAAAAGTATCAGTTACGTCAACAAATTTCACCGTTTTGCGAGTACTGATCGAACCCACACTGTTTCATTTGGTTGCGGCTTCGCCACGAAGCATCGTAGAAGCATAATCGTAATGTCATTTTAAAGAGCGAATTCTAGTCTATTGTTTGATGTATAAATTGAAAAAATAACTTGCTTATTTCATTTTAAAAAATCAGTTTTTAAACTTTAAATGACGATATATACACGAAAATAAACTAATTCTGTTTCAATTTTTACACCGATGTAAACTTCACTCTTATAACTACTTTTTGTTGTAAATTCAAGTATTTCTGATTTACGGTCGCGAAGCCGTGCCCTCAATAAACATATAACCCTCGAGTCAATTTTCAGCCCCGAGTGAGTAGCTCGCCCAACGGTTTTAAATGTTGACGACCGATGATGCTAAACGGATTTTACCCTTGCTAGAGCCTTCAAACAAGTACTAAGTATCATTGTTAAAGTTTCATTTCCATTTTAATAAAAGAATTTTAAGTTTGAATGTCAGTTTAGTTTAATTAGTACACGTTATTAATGTAAAATTGAACGCTACTAGTCCACGGTTTTTAGCGTGTGAACTATGCTTGTACACAGGGTGTGTTTAGACGTGAAGCTATTTAATTCAGGACATTCTAGGGACTTAAAATATGGATGCACTTAACTATTAGATGCTAGTGTTTACTAATTCTTTAAAATCTATCGAATGGGATTAATGATAGGGTCGTATTACTTCAGTTTATCTGGACTATCACGTCAAAATTATGAATCGACAAATTCAAAATGGCCACCAGACAATCCTGGTTACTATGTGGACGAACTCAATTATTTACAGGGAACGAAGGTTAAATACTTATAAAATATTAATGAAACACAAAAGAAATGTATAATTATAAAAATAATACATTTTTATCGATTTATTTAAAATAAAAGACTAAATGTTAAGTACTAATGTGATTAATTTTTTTAATTTTCTGTTGTGCACTCTGATTCTGATTTCCTGCTGAATAATGTGAAATGGTCTGCGCCAGTCTCCGTAATAAATGTACCAGATCAATTTTTAGATGGTGGTGCAATTTATTAAGATTGTACATGTTGTGACTTAGTTTTAAATGTTATATTAGTTGTAAGTGTAAGTAGTACTAGTAGTATTTCTCATTATTTATTTATTTTATATGCATATAGTAACAATGAAGGACAGTTAAGTTGTCCTATAGGATGCTGAGAACCACAGTATGGCACCTTCATTATTGGATATCTCAACCAGTGTTGCACAAGCAACGAATATTTCATTCAGTAGAATTACTATTAAAAATATACTATCAAGTATACATTACTTTTAACAAAAATGTGTTTTCATGCTTTTTCATATGTTTTCAGTTATTGTCATTGGACAAATAGTAGGCCTACACAATAGGCTAGTAGTAAATTTAATTATATTTTATTAATCACTAAATCAATTATTTATTCCATAGCTGGTGAATTTATGGTGGCCTATCAAGAACTTTCCTTACAAGGGAAGGGAAGAAGGCCAAGCCCCCCTCCCCCCACCCCCTACAGTTCCCAAAACTTATCGCTTACTCTTGATGCTCTACAAGATCAAGGTTGAGAGAAACAAGACG